CGGCAGAGCAGACACTGGAAGGAGCAGGCAGTGGGATTGATTCTGAGCCGTCCCTGAGCTCCACTGCAGGCAGTGGGATGGCAGCTGGAATAGATCAACTTCCCGGTGAAGGTTCCTCATCCGGTTCTGCCTTTCCCAGTGATGTGGTGGCAGCACCTTCTGTTTCAGGAGGTGATGAAGCAGGACCCATCTCAGGTGCAGCCCCTGGTCCTGACAGCCTGTCCTCAGCCTTTCCGGCCAGTGAAACTGGCCCAGGGCTCGGTCTGGTGGAGGGGGCAGAGAGTGCAGGGAATGTGGCACAGGCTGGAAACCCGGAAAGTCCCTACACGGAAACAAATCCTTCAGCCTTCAACTCTCAGCAGGACCCCACTAATACCGGAGAGCTGCCAGCAGGAGAAACAGGGGCTCTGGTGAATACTGAGCAGTCTCCTCCACCAGCTCTCAGGGAAGGAACAGGAGTAGGAGATGTCCCGGCACTGGGAGAAGTGTCCTCACCTGGTTCTGCACCTCCCAGCAGTGCTGGAATGGAGCCCGATCTCTCAGGGGCTGAAAGACCAGCGGACCTGCCCAGTGAATCTGCCAGTGGTCCTGGGGCTGTTTACCCACTCCCGGGGGCTGTGTCTGGCCCTGCATCTGAGACAGAGACACCAGCGAGCCCCAACCTCAGTGGTGCCCAGGGAGCACCTGGGTCTCCATCCTTTGGTGGGTCGCAGCCATGGGGAACAGCAACTGGTGCTCCCCAGGGAGCTGGTCTCCCTGGAGCTGAAGGACCAGACTCTGGCTTGTCTTCGTCAGGAGATGCCCCCAACTCAGCAGTTCATGGACTGGTAGGACCCCCATCACCTGCCCTTGGGGACCAGCTTGGCACAAACCTGGGGCTGCCAGCAGCTGGAGGGCCTGGAGTGGGCACGGCAGAGCAGACACTGGAAGGAGCAGGCAGTGGGATTGATTCTGAGTCATCCCTGAGCTCCACTGCAGGCAGTGGGATGGCAGCTGGGATAGATCAACTTCCTGGTGAAGGTTCTTTGTCTGGTCCTGCCTTTCCCAGTGATGTGGTGGCAGCACCTTCTGTTTCAAGGGGTGATGAAGCAGGACCCATCTCAGGTGCAGCCCCTGGTCCTGACAGCATGTCCCTGGCCTCTCCGGCCAGTGAAACTGGTCTGGTGGAGGGGGCAGAGAGTGCAGGTGATGTGGCACAGGCTGGAAACCCAGAAAGTCCCTACATGGAGACAAATCCTTCAGCTTTCAGCCCTCAAGAAGATCAACTGCCTGGTGCAGGTTCCTCATCTGGTCCTGCCCCTCCCAGTGGTGAGGTCGCAGCATCCTCTGTTTCGGATCCATCCAGCCACAGTGCACTTGGAGGAGAGGGCAATGCTCCTGGAGCTCTTCAGCCTTCCCTGGGTGCTGGGCCTGGGGTTCCTGCTGCTGCAGGAGAAGGGACAAGTGAAATGGCTGGTAATGGAGAGTCCATGGGGCAGACCCAGGCTCCTACTGGAAATGGACCAGCTGGTTCAGGAACCCCTGATGAAGATATGGGAGATGTGTTGCAGTCTGTATCTTCTTCCTCATCTACAGAGAGATCTTCATTGCCTGGGAGGACTGATGAGACTGTTAACAAAGCAAATCTTCCTGGAGCTGATGGAGCCAATGGTGGCTTGAATACAGGCTTGGAGGCTGCTGGCCCCCAGGAAGCCCCTGTGTCTGTCCCTGGCATCCAAAGTGCTGCCAATATTGGACTTTCTGATGGAAAACAGAGCCAAGTCGATGCGGTGCAGGTGCCTGGAGGAGCCTCGGTGAACGGGGGATCTTCCCCTGGTGCCAGTCTGGTCCCAATGGCTCCAGACAACAGCGGTGTTTCTGACAGCACGGCCACCTCGACAGCTTCTCTGCTTCTCCCTGAGCATGGGCTGAGCTCGGGGCTGGCACCCAATGGAGACACCCACTCTGCCCCTGGCATCCAGAGTGGGAGCAGACCCCTGGTGCCAGGGGCACCATCTGGGCTGGCAGGAGAGTCTGGAGGCATTTCTTGGTCTCTTGAAGATGAGTTGGCCTCAGGGATGCCCGCACCTTTGGGAGAAGCATTCCCCCATGCTCCCATATCCCCCAACACTGCCTCAGTGCTGCCTTCTGCTCCACAGAGAGGAAATGCTGCAGAGGGGGTGTCTGTCAGCCCTGAGCTTTCCGCTCCACTTGCGGCACGTGAGTCAATAGTGGGGTCCTCTGCAGGGGGAAAGGGGGAGCTGGGGGCTTCTCTGCCAGGGGGTCCTCTCTTGCTCCTGCCTCCCTGCCAGCCAGGAAGCACTGGAGCCCCTTCCAGAGATGCCAACAGCCCTGTGCCTGGGAAAGCAAGTGCTGAACTCCCTGGAGTGATGGCAGGGCAAGGGGACGTGGCCCAACTCCTTCCCAGTGTGACCGGATCTGGGGCAGATATGGAAACACCCACTCGCTCCCCACCGCAGGGGAGCCCAGGGCTCCCTGGCCTTCCTCCCACTGGGATCACTGCTGGTAGCACTGGATCAAAAATCCCAGGTCCAGGTCCTACTGGTGGCTCACCATCCGCTGCCCTGCATCCTGTCCTGGGCAGTGAGCTGGCCACCAGCTCTGCAAATGGAGCTCCTGCCACCGCTGGGTCGAGCCTCCCCAGAGCCTTCCCAGGCCAGGGGGAATCCCAGGGAGGGTTCCCAGCCACTGCATGCCCTGGTGCATCCTGCAGCCCGGCCCCTGCTGACTCAGCCCCACGAGCCCCCCTCCTTGGGGGAACTTCCACTGTCACCTCCCACACATCGTCCCCCGTGGTTCCAGCTCCAGCAGGAAGGCCAGCAGCTGCCCCAACCCCGCTGCCCAGCCCCGCAGGTATGTGACGCTCACAAGGCAGCCTGGGTGGGAGTAGCACATCCAGTTTCCTGCCGGACCATCCTGGGGGACATTCAGTACCCAGAAAGAAGGGGGCTGTTTGAGGCCAGGGCCCTGGAGGACACGCACCACGAGGGCCCCCTGCACATGAGTGTGCACTGTTGGCAGGCTGAGCCTGCCTTCATTATGGTCCCATCAGCTGGAAAACCCATCCCCTCCAAATGTTTTATTTAACAGACATAAATAGGGAACTGGAGGCTGTAAACATCTCCAGAAAGAGCTGTGGGTGTTTAATTCCCTGCTTTCCCCCGATGTAGTCCTGTACAATGTTTTTCCCCTCCTAACAGCTGTCCTTAAGAGCAGTATCCCAACGGGGCTGGATAAGGGAGGGGATAGTGACCACAAAGGCCATCACAGCAGGTTTAGGGCAGCTGTGTCCATGTAAGACAGTGAAAGGGGTGGGAGCAAGCTCCTGCAAGGGAAGGTGACATTAAGAGTGTTCCAGGTGGATATTGGCAGTGTTCCTCCATCGTCCTTCTGCCCAGGCTGTGTCCCATTGAAAGCAAAATCATTTCAACCCTTTAAAGTTTTTAACACAGACCAAAGGCTGTGCTGTAAGTGTATTTTGGGGCTTATTTTTTTGTTTTTTTCTTTTCCAGTTCCAGCTGTTCCCCTCTACGGATATGGAGCGAGGGAAAATGATCGGGAGTATGTGGAAAGGAGAGTGGATTTTAATTCTCCACTTTTCAAGCCTGAGACTGGATTCCCATTTGGGAGAACCCTGCGTGACTCTCTCTACGTGAGTCTACCTGTGCTTGATTTGCTGGGCAAGCAGCCATTGCCCAAAAACCTGGGATAGGCACCAGTGACCAGGTGCCTGGGATGGGATCCCAGCAGGGCCAAATCTACTGGGTTGGTGCTGGGGTCTGTTTGCAGCAGAATGTGACTTTGTGGCCATTTTGGCAGTGGTGGGTGGTGACTTTCCTTGGGCATGGACTTGGAAAGTCCATGTGGACTCGGAAATGGGAGGGCTGCCATCCCAGTGTCAGGGAGTGCCACTGGTCCTGACCTTACCTGATGGAGAGATCCCTCTGCTCAGTTTACAGACAATGGACAAATCGTTTTCCCAGCCTCGGACAAAGGCATCTTCACGTATCCCAACCCTCCTCCTGGCGGCTTCAATGGCCATGAGGAGGTTCCCATGATCGCTGTATTTTGGGACAACGCCGACTTCTCCAGAGGTGTGGGCACCACCTTTTACCAGGTAAGTGAAGCCACCTGGGTGCATGGTTGCATGAAACACCTTTTGACTATAAACTCATCACCTATTCTGTGAATGCCCCATGAGATGTGTAATTAATGGAGCCCGTGAGTGGCTTTTCCCTTTTCTGGGCCAAATCTAAGAGCTATTGATCCTGTGTTACCTCTTGAGCCATCCAAATTCCATCCAGACCCTTAGTTGTAGGGGTCTGTGCATGACCCCAGTCTAGACCAGTCTTTTCCCTACTGGGAGCTAATGCAGATGTGGGTATATCCAACCTGCAGGAGTTCTCCACCCTCAACACGGCCAAGCCTCCGTTTGTCCGTGACGTGGAAGCGAAGGTTCGGCAGTACATGAGGTCCTCCTACTCTGCAGCCTGGACCCTGAAAATCACCTGGGAGAAGGCACCTGTCTATGCATCAAGGACTGACACCCGGAAGGTAAGGGGTTGATAGATCACACATGCTGGTTGAGTTGTCAAAAAAACCCAAGATCCACAGGTGATCACCTTTTCTGTGCCTAAAAATAAGAAACCAATTTTGTGACAAAGGCCCGTCTTGAAGAATTTTGCCAAAAAGAACTGGGCTGTGCCCATGTTTTGGTGGTTTTCAGGTTGTTTGAGGGACATCTTTAGTTGAACTCTCCCTGCTCTGTAAAACCTTTATGTTTAATGTGGTGGGAGTTTATTGAGCACCACAAACACTGTTCTTCAGAGGCATAACATGGTGTGAATTTGAGGCTTGTCATGGAACAGCTTCAAAGTAAAACCATCACATTTTCTGTGTGAACTGGCTCAGGCCATGTTTGCCTTACACCTCCAGACCTCAGTCCTGCCATTCCCCAGAAAGCACTGACCCACACCCCTAACTTTAAACCCACCATCTTTGCTCATTTTCTTACCTATCTGCAACACTTGTCTCCAGACGATCACATACCAGGCCATCCTGACCACTGATGGCTTCAGGTCCTACATCCTGATGCTGTACCAGGACGGAGGGATGCAATGGGATTACACCAAACTCGCTGCCACCAATGTGCTCATCGGCTACACCAGGTACAGCAGCTCAGCACCCCATCCCTGCCTGTTCTGAGCAATGGGGTGCATCCCACCCATGGCTCCAGCTTGTTGAATCCTTCCCTGTGTCCCAGGAGGTGCCCTACAAGGATGAGGATGAGAACAGCCCAGATGGGGTCTGCATGCCCATATAGCCTAACATATGGGTGTCTCAGAACCAAATTTGCCTCATTAGTGACTGGATCATGCTGCAGCACGCTGTCTTGATGAGCTGTGCTTGTTGTAAGATCCACAAATCCCTCTGGAGTCCTGGGCCCCCAGCATCCTGCCAGTTTGGGTGGAAGGAGTGGGAAATAGGGGATGTTTGCTGAACTTTGCACCAGTTGAGGGAAGGGATTTCCGTGCTTGGCCAGAGCGGTCGCTTCCTGCCTCCTCACATTACATCTTGCCCTGTACACAACGTCTCCAGGGTTTCCTCATTAGCTGCTTGTTGCAGCTGGGTAAGGAAAAGGTGGCCTGGACTGGAAGCGCAGGCGGCACAGGCGTGTGTGTGTGTGTGTGTGTGTGTGTGTGTGTGCTTGCCTGTGCGTGACTGCTCCAGGGTTTCTGCTCCATCTCACCCAGCAAGATGCTGAAAACCATGGGAGCTGCTTGTGGGGGTCTTCAGGTGTATGTGGGTTCAACCCTTGATGCAGCAGGAGTGTTTGCAGCACCCAAAACTAACTGCACCCTGCATAGAGGAGGAAGCAGGCTGGGGGAGATGATACCTTTGCCCTCCTGTCCCTGGAGTTACCTACTGATCCTCCCTACTCAGTATCAGTATGGTTGGAGGGCAGCCTGGGGATGGGGCTGGGATAATCCCACCCAGGAAAAGCCCTGATTTTTCCTCTTTCCTCTGTACGCAGTGGGGATGGCTTTTATTACAACGATGACCTGAGTAAGAGACCTCCAGCTGCTAAATATCGCCCTGACCAGTTCAGGGGCTACAACACAGGTAATGCCACACAGCCAGGGCAGGTTCACAAGGTTCACAAGGAGGGGGATATTCCCAGGGAATGAAATCCAGCCTGCTGCTGTGGCAAGGCTCTCAATGAGTTTGCCAAGGCCAGGCTTTCCCCCCAAGTGCATATAATGCTTCCCCCAATACCAGCTATGCCCTGAGGCTGAAACATGCCTGCTGTGCCCATGGACTCTTTTTGTTCCAATGGCTGTGTCCCAAGGCTTTCTTCTTTGGCAAGAGCCACTCCCCATTTCCCTGCTGTTGGGTGGCTGTTGAGCATGGGGGTCCCATGGCTGAGGGTCAATGTGGGCTTAGCTTCCAGCGTCAGCATCACACAGCTATCACCTCGAGATGAAACAGCCCCTGTGGTCCCCTTGGCTGGAGGTGACAGCTCATGATTTCTCTCCCTGCTCAGACCTCCGTGGGCTGTGGATTTACAAGCTGGAGAGCCGCGTGGGCATCAACTACCGGCTGAAGTGCCTGGCATGGACAGGGCAGCAGCAGGAGCCACGGGCATGGAGCCAGGGCCTGCCCACCTGCCCCTGCTCCCTGCAGCAAGGGCAACAGGACCCACGCTTCAAGAGCAGCCGTGGAGGCAAGTGGACATGCTGCTTCCTCACCCTCCTTGTCCCTGAGCTGTCCCTCCCCATCTTCCCTGCAGGGGTGGCTGAGGTCCCTCCTGGCAGGGTGGGCAGGTGACCATAAGGAAAGTGGGAAGGGGACTGCCCTTCCCTGCAGAGACAGGGAAAGTAAGGAGAAATGAGGGCTGACCTGTTCCTCTCATGTTAGACTGGCCAGAGCTGATCTAACATGGATGGGGATACTGGAGACCGGGGTCTCACCCTTGGGGACCACTTGGATGGTCTCCATCAGTCCCTCCAAACCCCTGTAGCACCGTGGGTGATGTGGATATCAAGGAGCCATCCCCGGCCCCGCTCCTTGCTCCGAGGCAGAGGTGCTGGCCGAGCAGAGCTGCCCGAGGCTCACTGCAGTCCCCTTTCAGGCCGGTGGGCTGCCCGTGTCTCCATGCTGCACTCGGCCTCCCCCAACCAGCACGGCGCCGGCGTCCGCTGCCTGTACGACAGCCAGAACCAGCTCATCGAGGGGCGGCAGGAGAGGTACTGGAGGTCCTCCAGGCAGGCGTCGCCCTACCGTGGTAAGCACAGCCAGACTTGGCATCCCCTGGCTGAGGTTGGCATTGTTGTAGCTTGTAAACAATTTTAATCTCCATGCCAATCTGTTTCCTGACATGCTGTTTCCCTTGGAGGGAGTGTGGACCAGCTAAAAGCTGAAGCAAGCCTTGCCCTGGAGCCAGCCCATCTCCCTCTCCTGTCTCCTTCAGCCCCTTACTCTCCCTTTTGCCTCCAGACCAGGAGCTGAAGCTGTATGACTGGTGCTGCAACCGGGCGGGCAGCGCCCACCTCTGCGCCCGCTACAGCGAGAAGCGGCCGAAGATTGGCTGTGATGGATACCAGTCACCTGGCATGGGTGAGTTTCCAGCCTGTGTGTGTTGGGGTGATGCTGTCTTGGTGCCCAGGGCTGGAGAGGGAAGCAGGAATGTCCCAGCCTCCCCGTGGTTAAGGCAGCAAGAGCCCTGGGCAGATGAGGGAAAGGTTTTGGGGTGCCCACATGTAGTTGTGCCATGCCCTGAGCTGTGCAGGGTTGTGGGGGGCATCTCTCTCAGCACATAACCACCAGCATTGTCTGGGGCTGACAGCACTGGGAGGGGAGAAGGACCACAGCTGATGTGGTTATGGTGTAAGCTGATGCAGGGCTCTCTTGCAACCCTGAACAGATTCCTCAGAGGAGATAGAGAGAGACTCGGATGAGGAAATAGGTAAGCAGGATTGCGGGACTCCTTTCCCTCTGTCCATGTCTCCCTGCAAAAAAGTGTTCTGGGGCTACCAGTTTGCCCCAGGCCCACGTGGGATTAGGTGACTGAACAAGTCTCATTTCTTCTTTGCAGATGGAGACGACAAGTAAATGAGGGGTTGCACACCCACAGCATGGTCTGGGCCACGGCTGATCCTTTGGGTCCTTTGCTCTGCTCATCTCCTGGGTCCTCCCCTAGAACCCATCGCCCCTGCCCACCATGCAAGGCATCTCACTTGTCCAGTGCTTGTGGTTGCCTGCACTGGCAACTTCATATTTCTACATGAACTATATGTTCCTAACTCAGACTTGTCCCAGGGAGTCAGTTGTTTCAGTTGTCCTTTCCCAGCTGCAGTTGAGTGGGTGCCCATGGGCACCTCCTTGCTGGCAGGGAGGTGGGCAGGTACCCCCCACCACACACACCACCCTTGTCCTTCCTACGTCCCACTGTGTTCCCATGCTGAAGGGGAGCCTGGACCCCTGGCACCCAGGGAAAAGGTTTCTACACCTCGCAGGGGTTGACTGTGGCCAATACCTTGAGTGCCAGGGTGCACCAGGCTGGTCCCATGAGCCAGTTCTGTCTTGTCCCCCACTTCTGTCCCCCAACCATCCCTCACTGAGTGGTCCCTGGGCCCTGTGCCCAGGAGAAGGGACCGATTCTCTGGATCAAGCCAGAATCAGCTTGACACGCCTGCTGGGTGTGTGAGGGCAAAATGCAACCCCATGATCAGAAATGTTGGGAGAAAAATAATTTTTTGTGTGTAAGTGAGCATCTGCCTTTCTTACAAAAAATAAATCATTGTCAAATCTTGTTTGTTCAATAAAACCTCTGAAGGTTCTGAGCATCACTGATCCTGCAACAGCCCTGTCCTCTGCTGAACCAGGGTGGGAGGCAGTGATGGGGCAGGCTTGGAGCAGCAGGATTGCAGGATGCTTCTGTTCATGGATTTAGTGCTGGGGATGTGGGTGTCTGGGCTGCAGCTAAGCCAGGGTCTAAGGCAGTTAGTGGGGCTGGAGCCAGGGTCTGATACACCCTCCTTGGATCAGCATTTCCCATCACCAGAGTTGAAGGGCTGTAGGGGGATTGTGAGGAGCACAGCCCTGTGTGATCTGAACCACTGCAAGCAGTGTCCATGAAAATGGTGAGAGGAGACTTGCAGCTTTGCAGGGGGAATGAGAGGATGGAGCAACCAAAAAATCCATCTTCACTTTGGTTCTGTGAATGAGACCAGAAAAAAGCAGGTACTTGAGAGCTCAGTAAGAGGGAAGAAGGGCTGGCGCATGGACCCATGGGATGCAGACAATTTAGCAGCATGCCCTAATTTTTGGTTTATTCTATTTTGTTCCTATCAGGTTATAATCACTGTGTTGCCCCACCTGACCCTACTATCAGGGACTCTGCAGGGTCTGGTTACATTGCACTAGCAAACACCCCAGCGCAGACACATTCAAGGTCAATCCTGGTTGTCTCTGCAGATCCTCAGGAGAAGGTGAAATCCTCTTGCTTTGGTCACCCAACATAAACCCACGTTTTTCAATCAAAAAAGCTCCTCCTCCAGAGTGGATCCTCCCACAAAGACCAGAATCCAAAAGGCAGATGCCTGTCCTCTGCTTCCATGTGTTGGTGTTGCTGGAGATCTTGAAAGCAAGCGGCAGAGCAGGGGACAGCGTCTGGTTCCTTTGTGAGCCTGGAGGAGCCCGAGCAGGACCAGTGGCAGGCTAGGGCTGCTGGGGGGGCTGGCCTGGGGGCCTGATGTGGGGTCTCTGGATCTTTATCTGTAAATAAGGACAGGCCTCACCATGCTGTCAATGTTGCACGGGCTCTGCTCCTCACAACAAGCTCAGACAGTGGTGTGGAGCCCATGCCAGCCAAAGCATCCATGATGCTTCAGGACAAGGCACAACTCCCATGCATCTTCAAGTCAGGGGGCCAGGATCCAGTTCCCAGCCTGAAGCTCCCCATCCCAATGCCCCATGGGGACAATAACCCCCGGGCAGACCTGGACTGAGGGGTCAATAGCCTGGAGCTGCGGTTTCCAATGCCTTTCCAGGGACTGGGAACGGATGGGCTCTGCTTGTTCTTCTGCCATCGTCAAAGCTGGAGCAGGGAAGATGAGCAGAGCTTGAAGACTGAGGTGAAGCAGAGCCATGATGGGGGCAGTTTTCAGGGATGTACTCACAGGAGAAGGGCCGTGTCCTCCAGAAGGTCTCTCCTCCCTTGGCCCTGAGAGAGGGGAACAGAAAGGGGACAACATGTGTGGGGATGCTGGGAGAGCCCCTGCCTGCTCCTGGTGTCTGGGTCAGATGGCAAAGGGACCAGTGACTGACTGTGGGGGTGAGATGGGGCTGTGAAAAGAGGAAAAGCCCCAGCTGTTGTGCACACAATTTCTTGCCTTGGCACAAGTGCAAACAAACAAAGTTTCTTCCCAGAGGCCCCTGGCTTCAGGGCCAGCAGGGAGCTGGGAACATGGGCAGGACACAGCTCCAACCAGAGCAGGGGGCTTGGGGCTCTAAGCTTCCCCTGGGTGAGGATGCCACCCCAAGACCAAGGGCTGGGGGGAAAGTAAGGAAATGATAGTGCTTCCACCCCAGCCTTGCACCTTGCCATTCTTCTGTTAACTTCCTGCTCTGCAGGAGAGGAAGGTCCAACCCTGAAACCACTTTTCCTTACTTCAGGCCAACTCTTTCCAGACACATGTGAATTGCAGTGGAAATCATTCGGGTGGTATTCAAATTAGAATTAAATAGCCTGTCTGTAACCAAGCACTGGGTGGGATGAGGAAGAAATGCAAACTTTCCCTGACATGGGGGAGAAAGAGAAGCTAATGTTCAACCCACTGATGTTATCGCACCTCTGAGCAGCAGATGACTGGGAAAGGAGCTGAAAAATGCTAAAAGGTCACCCAGCCCCTTCCCCTGGCCAGATGAGTCCCACCACTGGTGGATCTTCCAAAGGTGAATTTTCCATCAGTTTTTTTTTCTGACACCCAACCTGCTCCCCTGCTGCACCCCCAGCACCCACCCCTGTGTGGGTCCCCCCCACTGCTCACCCCTGGTGCTGGTGGCAGTACCGGCGGTAGAGGTGTAGGGTCAGGTAGGTGATGGCAAACAGGAGGCAGAGCAGAGCCAGGGCTCCCAGCAAGATTCCAAGGAAGGCGGTGAGGCTGATGGCCAGCCACTCGCACCGGGCACCGGCCGGGGAGAAGATGGAGAAGGGCAGGCAGCTGTGGATGGGGAGGGAGGAGCAGTGATGCCGTAGGGAGAAGTGGCTGTGCTGGGTGGCCTTGTCCACCCCAGTGCTACTGCTACCTGCACGTGGGCCCCTCTGGCAGGTGCTGGCACCGGCCGCCGTGCTGGCAGTAGCCCAACTTGCAAGGGGAGATGCAGACGAAGCCGATGGTCCCCTTGTAGTAGAGCTGGTAGCCCTTGTAGCCATACAGAGCACAGGGGAAATAGTCCCTCAGCTCAGCCACTGTCACTGGGGAGGGAGGGTACGTGGGTTAGGCCACACAGCATCACCCTTTGGTGCTACATCAGATCTCCCTGAGCTGGATCTGTGCCCCGGGGTGGGAGAGGCTGCCCATGCTCCTCCTCCGCAGGCGTTAACCGAATGCCAGGGCACAGAGAGGGCAATGGAGACAGCAGGGTGCTCCTGCCACGCTCCATAGCTCAGTGCTGGGAGCAACTCACGCTTCACCAGGTCAGTGATGTTGTCCTGGTGCAGATGCTGGAAGAGGAGCCCTGTGCCTGCCTCCCGTCGCCCCCGCCGCCTGTTGAAGGCCCTGGTGATGGCCACTGGGAGCTCCTCATTCAGGAACCGGATGACGGTGCTGTGGCTGCTGTAGGCAAACTCAGACACCACCACAAAGGTGAAGCCATCACTGTCTGTCCTGCAGGGAAAAGAAGGGGCTGCTGGCAGAGTCACTGCTGCATCACAGAGTGACTGAGCCTCACTGTGCCTCAGTATTCCTGTTTGGGCGGTGGTAAAGAAGGGATGAGGCAGGAGGCAGAGGGTGCCAAATGGCTTGTGTCTCTAAGGGTTTACCAGCATCAACACTGGAAAAACAGACTCTGGGGTGAGGAAAAACGCCCTTTGTGCACCAAACCCTGTGGCCCCACGCCCAGCCCTGCCCTGCTGGATCACATCACTGGGGTGGGCACGGGTCTGCTTCACTGCTGACTCACGTCTGGGTGATGTTGGTGTTGCTCTGGAAAGTCTTTACCTCCAGGGAGCCCAGGATGGCTGAGACCTGTGGCAGGGGGAGCGGAAAGGCATTAGGGGAGGCCAGAATGGCACCGTCATGGGGAGAGGCTGAAGGGTGATGCAGGCACATTGGCTGAGCTCCAGGGGTTGCCCTGGCCTTTGGTTCATGTGCTGGGAACCTGGCACATGGCCACAGTCATAGCTGGCATCATGCAGCTGGTATTTCCTCCCTGTGGGCTTGTAGATCTGCTGGATCCCCAGAGATCCCATGGAAGGGAGGCATATGGAGGCATGAGCACCCCAGGCTGCCGTGCTGCCCAGTGTGCTGGCATGCCCCCCTCCCTCAGCCCATCCCCTCCCATGACGTACAGTGCTGTTGACTTCCTCAGCAGTGGTGTTTTGCAGTGCCCTGACCCGCAGCCGGATGCTTCTCAGGGGCAGATCTGCTGGGGGAAAGCCACAGTGGTGGCTCTGGAATTCCAGGACCAGGGTGAGTGGGATTAGGGTTCACCCCCCACGGTGCACAGGCACCCACCTGCACTGGGCAGCGGCCGAAAATCCCCCCCTGCCACCAGGCAGCGCTGGTCGGTGAAAGCTGAGGGGCAGGCACAGGTGGGAGTGCAGGTGATGGGGTGCAGGTAGCAGCGTCCCCCGTTGCTACAGTAACCCTCGGGGCAGTAGTGGGATCCACAAGCTGAGCCACAGCCTGGCCTCTCATCTGCAGGACAGGGAGCTCAGATCAACTGGAGGCATCAGGCTGGCCCCAGGGCATTGAGCCATCCTCAGCTACTCTGTCAGGCCTTTCTTCCAAGATTTGTTTTGTTTTTCTTTTACTTGTTAGGACTTCTAGTGTAAACTCAGATCCTCAAGCAAAAGCCCTGCGTCCCCCTCTCCCAGCTGCAGCCATTTACCCTTGTGAAATCCCAACCTGCTGCACTAGAATGAGAGCAAAAGCCATCACCTCAACCCCATCACAGCCATCTGAAAATACGGTTTGATTTCACCCTCCACCCTCTGCATGTGAGATTTTTTTTTCTCAAGGAGAAAAATTGCATGGGAAAAATTTCCCTTCCTGGAAGATTAGTGAGATCTACAGCCTGAGAACACAAGTGGCAGCTGGACTCCAGTCCCTTCTGTTAAGGACAGCAAGGCTTGCGCACAGAGCTCAGGCAGCTTCCGCTTCTCTCCTCTCCGGCCAGCCTGAGTTCCATAGGAACCCTCTTCCACAGAGCCCAAGGGTGATGGGCCTGAGGACTATTCCTGCCAGGGAGTGTGTACTCACCCTCCTCGCTGGCTGGGCAGGAGCAGGTGTAGCTCCCCACCGTGTTGGTGCAGGTGGCGTTCCCCGGGCACTCCATCCCCTGCGCGCACTCGTCGATATCTGCCGAGGAAATGCACCATGGCACCGGGAGAGACAGCTTGGCTGGGGGCCCGCAGGCTTTCCGGGTTCCCAGCAGCCAAAGTGAGCCCTTATCACCTGAGCAGTGCCGTCCATCGCCTGTCAGACCAGCTGGGCAGGGACCGCAGCCAGTGTACAAGTCACAGCCCACACCAGGGAAGCATCCCTGGGAGCAGGGGTCGGGAGGGTCCTGGCACAAGGGACCTGAGTAGCCACTCTCGCA